TATATATATATACACACCTGATTAATCTAACCCTTTTTTTAGCATTACAATCGGACTGTCCAGGTCCAGTGCATTAGGTAAGAGGAGAGTTTCTCATTGCAACCTCCCCATCAGGCAAATTGACAACACTCCCCATTGCCATGTCAGATTACACAGGGAAGACATTGAAATTAATCAACATAAACACAATTTCAACAGGAAAGAAGAGAGTTTAAAAATAAATAGGGCATGGTTTCCTGTCCTGCAAAACACAAAATGCTCTACATCTCACAACAGCACTACAGATAAGATTAGAATTTCAACAGCCAATCCATATGCAAAAGAACCTCCTCAGGAAAACTCCTCTATTAGCATGTTCATAGCCTGGGGAACTCCTACAAGATAATGACTCAGCCCTACCCCACCTTCAGGAGTAGATATAAATTACCTGCCTACCATTTTTCTTCTCAACTTGACACAGAGAGTACTCCATCTTTCTGTGTTACACCTCTGAGGATGCCAGTCACAGATACTGGCAAAACGTCAGGTTCTACTATGCATTTGACGTTCCCAAAGTAACAAAATGATGTTCAATCTGTAAAGAGTACTAATATTGCATTTTTTTCAATTTTTCCAAAAATTTGTTTTTTTTCTGGGGGAAAACAAAAAAAAAAACCCGTTCCCCCCCCATGGCTTCAAAATTTCCAGAAATTTTACATCTCTACATAACCCAAACCAAAATTAAGCGCTACTAGATCCCACTGATCTCAAATGCAACAACTGAGGATTTAATTTTCATTAGAAGAAGAAGATATTGGATGTATACCCCACCCTTCACTACCCAAAGGAGTCTCAGAGTGGCTTACATACTCCTTTCCCTTCCCCTCCCCACAACAGACACCCCTGAGAGGTCGGTGGGGCTGACAGAACTCTAACAGAAACTGCTCTTTTTCAAGGACAGCTCTTGTCAGAACTACGGCTTGCCCAAGGTCATCCAGTAGGTGCAAGTGGAGGAGTGGGGAATCAAACCCGGTTCTCCCAGATTAGAGTCCGCCGCACTTAACCACTACACCAAACTGGCATTAGGAAAGTCAATCACGGGCTCAGCTCTCTCCTACAGAAATTGGAAGAATCCAAGAATGGTCATTTCTTGCTCGGATTGTGTTTTACCTCTGCAGAAATACCCCCCCCCCAAAAAAAAAGGTACCTACCTCTTCTAGTATTAATAGGTCCCCCTCGCATAGCCAAGATCAACTTCAAAGTGCAACCTTCTGCAATGCTGCAAATAAACAACCGACAAAGATTTCATAGCCCTTTTCCCCCCGATAGAGAGGCGACTCAGAAATATCCTGTGCCATGGCGTTCGAGCACTTACTTGTAGTCGTTCAAGCAACAGTCATCCTTCAGCTCTACGTTATTCCAGATCAAGTGCTGCTGAGACACCGGAATCCCTTAAAAATAACATTGTTATTAACAGAATAAAACTGTCACTGGCTCGCTCAGACGGCGGTCCCCGATTCATTTAGGGCACACACAGAGCTCCCCGCGTGAGCCACATCCCATCTGGTAGAGGAATCGGGGCCAGAAAAGAAAAAAAACAGCTGAGTTGCTGGGGATACCCTTGACCAGATTTCAAGCGAGTTTTTGATAGTTCCGTTGTAGCCACAGGGGATGGGGAAGTGGGCTTGAGCTTTCGTGAGTCACGGCTCACTTCTTCAGATACAGCTAGAACGTGAGTCTAGGATTCTACTTTGTTGGTTTTAAAGGTGCCACTGGACTTGAATGAGGTCAGGAAGCAATTTTTCTCCGGGCCGGTTTGGCTGGAGATCCTGGAGGTCTTTTGTCATCTTCTGGGAAGGGAACAGTGGTCACTGGGGGGGGGGTGGGGGGGAGGTATTTGTGAATTTCCTGCATTGTGTAGGGAGCTGGACTAGATGACCCTGGAGGTCCCTTCCACCCCCATGATTCTATGTTTCTATGTATTTAGCCATATGAAACGCACTGAGAAATCTTCCAGTATTTTTTCCTAGTCTGACCCGAAGCCCTAGCCGTCTTAAATAATAAAAAGATCCGAGTCCCGTAGCACCTTACAGACCAACGAGATTTTCACGGTAGGAGCTTTCGAGAGAGTCCAAGCTCCCTTCGTCAGATGCGTTGTCAGCCAAAACTCCCTTTGTCAGATACAACACAGGGAGGTGGGAAGGGGGTTATAAAGAAGGAACTCTTTATTTTTATATATATAAAGAAGGAATGCAGAGGTACAATATCAGCTTTATTAGAGCAGAGGGGAAATGCTTGGGGGCAGAACATTTCCATCTGCAGTGAGATAAGAATCTATGTCCCTATTCAGCCCTGCTGGGTAGAGATGTAAAATTTCCGGAAATTTTGAAGCTCGGGAAAAACCCCGTTTTTTCCAGAAAAAAACGGAAATTTTCAGAAAAATTGAAAAAAATGCTACATTAGCACTTCTTTTGTCTTTTCCAGATTGAAAGTCATTCTGTTACTTTAGGAACATAAAATGTAACTGTGGACATTTTTACTTGGCATGAAATTATCACAACTAGCATATTAACAATATAGCGTATCCAAACAATTATTACAAACAGAATACCCACCCACATGCAAAAACAAAACTGAAACCTTTTTCTTTCCTTGTGACAATAGCACCTCCTAAAGGAAGAAATGCATCTTGTTCTTGCAGTGGAGAGTTCAGTTGGTAACCTAGGACTTGCTTGTCCTCAGTTTTTTTTCTTTTCTTTTTTCAATTTTTCCAATTTTTCGGAAAAAAACAAAAAAGGCTTCAGGAAAAAAACGGGAAAAAACCTGGGTTTTTTCCGAATTTTTCCGGGTTTCTTCCAGGCCTTCACATCTCTAGCCCTGGGGGGCCCATTACTCTGAACTTGTGAGTGAACAATGAATCATTTGAGTGAATGATGAAAAAAGTGCCTCTACAAACGTGCAGGAACTCCTCCCGTTACCACTGAACAAGGATCAGGCTATTCACACTGCCCCAGAGTTTCGTCAGTAAGCATGTGGTGCTGGAACTGCAGCTCAATATTCTGATTCAATATTCTGTTCCTAACACGGGTCAAGCAGACGCCAACGGAAGCTCAGGAGTTGGACGTGAAGTGAACGCCATCGTCCCCTTTACTTCCGGCACCTTGTACACGGTGTATTTGCCTTCTTTGGCGAACGTTTTTTTAAATTCAGCTAACTATTTAACCTTGAACTGGAGAATTTCCCAGTTCCCATTGAGTACCAGAGCAGGGATGTGGAAAACCCACAATGCTACACGGGTGCTGATCCGATTAACGCTCCCTTCTAAAAAATGGGTGGGAGTCCAAACAAAGCTGAAAGAAAGCTAACAAATGGGATTTCAAAAATGCACAGTCACAAGACTCTGTGCCTGTTGCCAGGTCCAGAGATTGTGTCAGTGTTTGGCAAGGGATCTTGGGCGGCCGGGGGTGGGTGGAGAGAATACCCCCCTCTTCAACTGCCCCATACATCACATGCAGAGTGTTCCCTCTAAGCTGAGTTAGTGTGAGCTAGCCCACAGTTTTTTTAGCCTGTGGCTCACACATTTTTGCCTTAGCTCAGGAAAGATGGCTCCAGGGCAGACTAATCGATGCCGTAGCCAAATCGCTCACTCACAACTTTAAATGCCGGTGGTCCAAAAATTAGAATTTTTGCTCACAAGATTCCACAGCTTAGAGGGAACATTGGTGGCCTGGTTCAGTTGTCAAACTAACTACTTTGGCAAAATTAAGGCCAGAGAGAAGTATCCAAATGACTACTTCTGGCACCGTGTATCGTTGGCAGCATAAGAAGTCCGGCCATCGTTATCAACTGAGGAATATCCATCATGCGATTACAGGATATGATCTGTCATCCCACTGAGATGTTCAACAGAAGGCAAGGACAGGACGGCTCAAACTTCTGTGCAAGTCGGCCCGCTTCCGCTAACACCCTTCCCTTGCCACCCAGGCACAAGGGACACAAAGGTGTTGCCCGGCCTCTATGACAGGACCATCTCAGCTAGCGTATGGTATGCACGGTGCAGTACGGTCGACTGCACCACGCATCACTGGAAGAGGGCCGGCACAGAGGATTCCCCAACATGGCTGACTCGACATCTGACCTCCTACGCTTCAGCTTTTAAATAGATGCAAATGGTGTCGCTTCTCGAGAATCCTGCAACAAAAAAATGCTACTGCAGCACAGGGAACCAAACAGGGGGGGAAGTTACTAGTCCTGTTCGAAGCACTTCGTGGGAGTTTTCAAATGTTTTTTTTTAAAAAAGAACTAAACCAAAGATTTTCACGTAGCTTTGTAAGCAAATCTGCACAGGTCGTGATTACCTGCTGACCCTGTTTCCGGCACCCACTGAGGGGGTTTTAGAAAGCGGGAGGGGGGCCCCGTGTTCCCTCTAAGCTGAGCGAGAGTGAGTAGGGCTGCCAAGTGGGGGCGGTGGGCGGGTAAACCCCCGCTTTGGAGGCCCGATTTCCACCACCGCGGAATCGGGCCCCGGGGGGAACCCCACCTCCGGCGTGCACGTCACTAGGAAGTGACGTTATGACGCTGGGCACGCTGGGGGCGGGGCCATGACCATCCACGGGGAAACTCTATGGTTTCCCCTTGGATGGTCGTGGCCCCGCCCCCAGCGTGCCCGGCGTCATAACGTCACTTCCTAGTGACGTGCATGCAGCACCGCGCGCGCTCCGGGATCCACCCGGGAGTTCCCCGCTCCAGAGGTGAGTACTACTTGGCAACCCTAAGTGTGAGCCAGCTCACAGTTCTTTAGCCTCCAGCTCACACATTTTTGTCTTCTCTCAGGAAGGGATGGCTTGAGAGCAGAATAACTGATGTAGTAGCCACATCGCTCGCTCACGGCTTTTCAGGCCGGTAGCTCACAAAGGAGAATCTTTGCTCACAGGACTCCACAGCTTAGAGGGAGCAAGGCGTTCTGTTTGCAAGATCTGCCTGGCTCCGCGGGTTTTTTTAAAATGCGTCTTTGGCAGCGGCGGTCACCGCAGCACAAGTATGTGGGGCTGAAGGTCAGCCGTGGGCAGTCATTTTGTGGCTGTGCCCACCGCACCGTATCAGGATCCCAAAGGTGCCCACATATTTAAAAAACTGTTGAAGGCCCCTGCTATAGATTGTTATATACTCTTCACAGTACAACAGCCTCCAGAGTTAAACACTTCTCTACGAGAGTTCAGAACATTAAAAAAAGAAGAAGACAGATACCTTCCAGTCGCTGGATTTTCGCTTTCACAGAGACAACCGATTCCAAAGGCGATACCTGCAGCTCGAAGCATGTTCCCGCGAGGGTTTCGATGAAGAGCTCCATAGTCTCACAGTACAGGAGTTTGCGATAAAACGGCCCCACGTTGCCCTCATTGAAGAAAGGAGGCTCCTTCTTGCTGGCCATGCTCGGCACCTTAAAAATTCATTGGGGGACGGCCAGCCCCGAAGCAATGAGCCACCGCAAGCCAAATTAGCTCTGAACCCGGGATGTGTGCGCCGCTGCGCATGGTTCACGGCTTGCACCTAAAAGCAGACACAAGACCAATAACCACAACGCGTGAGGAGCCAAGGTCATTACGGCACCTGAAGATGAGATAACTTCTGAGCTTCAACTGCGAAAAGGTGCAGCGACCCTGGGCTTCCTTGGTGGTCTCCCATCCAAGTGCAAACCAGGGCCAACTTGCTTAGCTTCTGAGATCTGTTAACATCAGGCCAGGTCAAGGCAAGAGACAAACAGAGGTGGTTTGCCATTGCCTGTCTCTGCATAGCAACCCTGGACTTGCTTGCTGGTCTCCCATCCAAATATTAACCAGGGACAACCCTGATTAGCTTTTGAGGAGGGAGAGGAGAAGGAGAAGAGATTAGATTTATGCCCTGCCCTTCACTTGGGACCCTCAGGGCACCTTACTATCTCCTTTCCCTTCCTCTTCCCACAACAGACACCCTGTGAGGTACGTGGGGCTGAGAGGGCTGAGAGAACTGAGAGAACTGGTGACTGACCCAAGGTCACACCAGCAGCTGCATGTGGAGGAGTGGGGAAGAGTCGGACTCGACTGTGCGACTGAACAACAACAAAGCTACACAGGCCACTCCACTAACTACACCTGATTAGTTCAGATACACGTTGAAAGCGTGGCTTATTTTAACCATGGTTAGTGCATGAAACCAGGGTTCGGCTCACGGCAGGCCACTCGAACCCTGGCTCATGTCAACAAGCGCGGGCCTTCTCTGCTTTCGCTTTCCCTCTTGCTTTTCTTTCAGAGGCACACTGCATTGCATCGAAGGCAGTGCTAGGGAAGCAGCCAGGTTACCTGTATCTTTGCATCACCTGAAACTATTTTAATCATTCACTCATTTCACTGGATTTGACCGCCCTTCCCTGCTTGCACTGAGCTCAGGGCAGTTTGCAAGAGAAGAATTCAGTACGTTATAAAACCAATTAAAACCATTAAAATTCAATATTAAAACATTCGAACATGACAGTATTGGAAGACATTTTAACAATGAGATGGCATATCTAGCATTCAGTCATGGGGGAGGAGGGGGGGTGCTGACCTCAACCAAAGGCCTAGCGGAATATCTCTGCCTTGTTGTTCAGTCACACAGTCGAGTCCGACTCTTCGCGACCCCATGAACCAGGTCACGCCAGGCCCGCCTGTCTTCCGCTGTCCTCTGAAGTTGGCTCAATTTCATGTTCGTTGCATGGATGACACTGTCTAACCATCTCATGCTTTGCCGTCCCCGTCTTCTTTGACCTTCAATCTTTCCCAGCATCAGGGTCTTCTCCAGGGAGTGCTCCCTTCTCATTGGGTGGCCAAAGTATTTGAGCTTCAGTTTCATTATCTGGCCTTCCAGGGAACAGTCGGGGTTGATTTCTTTTAGGATTGACTGATTTGATCTCCTTGCACTCCAAGGAACTCTCAAGAGTCTTCTCCAGCACCATAGTTCAAAAGCATCTATTCTTCGGCGCTCGGCCTTCCTTATAGTCCAACTCTCGCAGCCATACATGACTACTGGGAATACCATTGCTTTGACCATGTGGACTTTTGTTGGCAGGGTGATGTCTCTGCTTTTTATCATGCTGTTTAGGTTTGCCATCGCTTTCCTCCCAAGGAGCAGGTGTCTCTTAATTTCATGACTGCTGTCACAGTCTGCGGTGATCTGGGATCCCAGGAATCTCTGCCTTACATGCCCTGCAAAGACAGACAGGGATCAAATAAGGAGATCATCCTGGTGAGATCATCTGGAGTGAGATCTATCTGTCCTAGGCCTTTGGCCCTAGTTCCCTTCTAACCCTCCCTGCTTCAAACTGACAATCAAACGTCAGTAAAATGGAAATATTTCAACCCAACTAACACTCTGGAGTGGTTGGCTGTCCTGGCTGATGTGAAAACAAGACCCCTTCTGGGAGCCTGTAAGGATCTGAAATAAGGGCAACCTTCCCCTTCCTCTTCTCAACTGTATCTGCAATGGATTATCAAAAGGCATTCTGCCAACATGGATGTACATGTTTAAGACTGCCTTTCTCCTGGTAAGAGAAAGGGACAGGCATGGAGCGAGTAAAAAAGGTTATGCTCCTATTCTCCAGCCTTCAGAGATGAACCCTCTCCTGTGAAACACGGATCTAGAGCCTTCATGCTTCTTTTTCTACCAATGTGCAGACACACAAATATTCCCTCCAGGGAAGGAGCATCCATGTGAACTATCTTAAGAGGTGGCCCAGCACACAGTTATCATGTAGAAAGGTTCAGCCATTCCAGCCTGCACAAGAGGGAGAGATCCTTCCACTTCTATGGGGCTGCAGCTGATTGTGGTAGTTCTGTGGTGATAAGGCGGCTCTCTGCACATGCCCAGAGGTAAGCTCAAGCCTTGGCATTGAAAACCAGTCCAAGTGATCTTAAAAAAACAAACCCTGTGTCTCACAGAAACTGCTGACATTTGAACACACACGAACACACATGATTCTCATGGGTGACTCCTGGTTATACAAAGATTCAGATGCTGACTGCTGCGGGCACATAAGCACAAGAGAAGGCATGTGTTTGCATTTATTTTATTTATATCCCACTTTTATCCCCAGTTGGGACTCAAAGCAGCTTAGAACATCATTCTCCCCCCTCCATTTTCTCAAAAACCCTGTGAGGTAGGCCAGGCTGAGAGTTTGTGATGGGCCCAAAGTCACCCAGTGAGCTTCCATAGCAGAAGACGAAGTGGAGGTTCAACCCTTGGTCTTCCAGCATCCTACTCTTACACTTAATCCACTACACCAGGCCAGATTTTTTTCCTAGTCAGTTGGTAACACTAAATGGTGGCTCCCTCTCCTGGTGTATTGTGGTAAAGGCTCATTTCCTCAAATCATGGGGCATGATTGCTCAGGCAAAGCCTCATGGGGGATGTCACCTGTCTCTGCTCCTGTGGCCGATTGCAGTGGCTTACATTCTGTGGGGTGGACACAGGGGGCTGAGGAGATAGTTCTGATGCCTTCAGTTACATCCACGAAGCTTGAGAACTACAGGAGAGAGGCCTTGGTTTGACTCACTCATTTTCAAGAAGTTAGATCTTGTGGTTCTGGAGGAGCTGGGCCACACTGGTGTATAACAGCCTCAGCCACAGATGCCTGCCCAGCCTGCTTGTGGGTCCATTTTAAATTGCCTCCAAAGATGGTCTTCTTCTCTCAGGTGTTGAAATCTCAGTTTGCTCTTTATTACCCAGTGCTAATGGAGGAGCTTTCCTGAGAAGGTTCTTTTGCAAGAATTTTGCAGACTTGGCCAACCTGAAAAATCAGCAGTGGCTGAACATAGCCTAACTCAAACAGGACACAGTATCTTATTCCAAGACACTGAAAGGCTGGACAACACATCCAGTTACCATGTCAGATTACACAGGGAAGCCATTGAAATTCATAAATTCATAAACATAAACACAATTTCAACAGGAAGAGAGTTTATAAATAAATAGGGCATGGTTTCCAGTCCTGCAAAACACAAAGTGCTCTACATCTCACAACAGCACTACAGATAAGATTAGAATTTCAACAGCCAATCCATATGCAAAAGGACCTCCTCAGGAATACTCCTCCATTAGTATGTTTCACAGCCCGGGGATAATGACTACATGATAATGACTCAGCCCTACACCACCTTCCTGAGTAGATATCAATTAGGTGCCTACCAGTGAACATGAAACTGAGCAAACTTCAAAGGACGGCGGAAGACAGGAGGGCCTGGCGGGAGCTGGTCCATGGGGTCGCGAAGAGTCGGACTCGACTGTGCGACTGCACACCGACTGAACAACAACAAGTGTTCCCTCTAAGCTGAGTTAGTGTGAGCTAGCTCATAGTTTTTAAGCCTCCGGCTCGCACATTTTTGTCTCAGCTCAGGAAGGATGGCTCCAGAACAAACTAATTTATGCAGCAGGCATATTGCTCACTCACAAATTTAATGCCAGTAGCTCACAAAATAAAATTTTTGCTCACGAGACTCCACACCTTAGAGGGAACATTGCTGCCTACCATTTTTCTTCTCACCTTGACACAGAGAATACTCCATCTTCCCGTGTTACACCTCTGAGGATGCCAGTCACAGCTGCTGGCGAAACGTCAGGTCCTACCATGCCAAGGCCACAGCCAGACAACCCGGGAAATCTACAACAGCTAATAAACCAGCCAGGATTTCAGATCCTATTTTGATGGAAGCTACGGCCCCGGCTAATCAGATCCCATCCGATCTCAGAAACTAAGCGGGGTCGGACCTGCTTCGTACTTGGATGGGAGACCACCAAGGAAGAAGTCCAGGGGTTGCTACGCAGAGGCACGACAGACCACCTCTGAACGTCTCTTGCCTTGAACACCCACGTGGTCAGGTTGCCACAAGTCGGCTGCGACCTGACAGCATTTTCCACCACCACCGGGATCCACGGTTGGCACAGTGTCCTCTGTAACTAAGTACAAGTCAATTTTATTGAACCATTATTTTGTGTGGCATCTAAACTGAGCCACTGACTGGTTTTCAGAGGTATAAGGAAAGACTGGGGGGGGGGCGTGGCGTGGCACTGTTCAGGATGAAATGTTACCATTTAAATAAGCGTGGGAGGCAGTGCCCGATCCAGTTCCCACTTCCAGAAACCTACTTTTAGCCCGACAGCCAGAGGCTCATTTGGAGAGTTCACTTCTCTTAATTAAGGCCTAGTTTAGAGTCAACAACATGGCCCACTCCAGGCAGAACACGATAGCTGCTACCCCATCGCAAAAGAAGGCAGTTCTGTGACAGCCGGTTGTACGTGCTGGATTCGCAGAATGATCCTGCAAAGTTTCACAAAGACCCATCTGTGGTGGTTGCGCACAAATATGCAATCTACAGAGTTCTGCCTATGAGTAACAATGGCATTACCACCTCAACTCCTGACCAATACTCCCTCTAAGCTGTGGAGTCTTGTGAGCAAAAATTCTGCTTTGTGAGCTGCTGGCATTAAAGTCGTGAACGAGCGATTTGGCTACTGCATAAATTAGTTTGCT